CGAATAATTTATTGTTAATTAAATTTTTTTATTTAAACAAGAATGTGTTTAAAATGTATGTATGTGCAGTTCCGATGGCATCGCATAGTGTAGCGAGGCGTTATCGAGCTCCGGCGCCCATTGGGTAGGCCTCCCATCCACCAGCTCGGCTAACCGGACTGCCGCGCCTCCACGAGCGAGGCGCCCCCCGTGAGACAGCGCCGGACAGCCGAGGGGGAAAACGACTAGGGTATAATCCGCTAGACGCCCCCCGTGTCAATCCAGCGGTAATCCGATAGGGTACTCTAGGGGTAATCGGAGCAATCCGGAGTAATCCCGGGTACACGAGATCTCAGAGTCGTTCCCCCCTCCGCTCCGGAGGCCAGCCAACTATACGGGCTGACCGCCTCGTTCAGCCTGAGTAAGTCTCAATAAGGGTAGAAAAGTTTTCGACAGACTCATATAAAAGGAAAGTCACCTAAACCCCTCCCTTACGGCTCACTCACCGACGGCGGTACCCTTCTGACTGAAGTGGAAGCAGTCGGTGGAGAAGAAGGTCCAGTCCGTGCCATTTCCGCCGGGCGCCAGGAAGGGCAGCAGCTGTCCGGGCCCAGACATGAACGGCGCCGACACCACGGCGAAGTCCTCTCGGGTCCGAAAGCGCTCCATCGCCACCTGGAGAGAGAAACTCACATCCACTAGCGTGTTGTAAGCAGAACACGAAAACAAACCGCCGGGCACTCACAACTTCGCGCTGCATCCGCTGGACTTCTTTGTAGACCTCCCTGTGCCGAGGGATGGCGTCCTGGAAGCGGTCCCCGAAGATGCAGGGGCACTCGAACCGGTTCATCACCTCGCACCAGGGCGGCAGCGGACCCAGGGCGTCCTTGAACCCGACATCTGAAAAAAGAAGGCAGCATTACGTGCGTTAACGTCGTTCTCGCGATAACCGCGTCATTTTTACACCACTGACTTTTCTGAAATAAGTTTATTATTTAGTCTTAAATTTTAGATAGCTATAAAGTTGAACACAGGGTGCTGTGCTTGTGCTACCCTCTACTCCAGCGCTGCTAATACTCCTAATGGTTGGGGGATTCCCGGGGATTGCCCGGGTCTCGTCTCGTACCCGCCCTCGTATACTCCCCTCCCACAAAGGCATTTCTGGACCCATTTATTTAATTGAAGCCAGCAATTTTTTTCTAATTTTGTTTCGGGGCTGCTAAAGCAGCTCTTCTCTCACCCGGAGCGATGACGACCACGACCAGCGTCCTGGGCAGCAGCGCCATGAGAGCGTCGAGGCCGCGGATGAGGGCCTCCCGTTCACGACGAAGGAACACCTTCGGGTCCTCGAAGCAGATCGAACACATCTCGTTGGCTCCGATCAAGATGCTCACCAGCTTGGGAAAATGCCACAAAATGTAATCAGTCACAAAGATAAAAGAGGACGGACGGTCTTCTTTAATTTGAACTGCTTCTCACCTTCCAGTCCTCTTTCATGTTGACCTCCTGTGCCATCCTGGCGGCCAGGATCTTGGCCTGGTGCACCACGTCCCGCGTGGCCGCCATGGGCTCGGCGACGTTGAACCGGGACGCCTTGTCGACGCTGAGGCTAGTGGCCGAGGCCCAGCCCCGTAGCGCGGGGTTGTAGGTCTTCAGGATGTTGGCCAGCGTCGTGCTGGAGCGCCACGAGCCCCAGCCGCCTGCAGACCGACCGAACGATACATCGATGAGCAACGAGATCGATAGACTCGAGTGTTCACAAACTCTGACAGGATGGCCCGTTGTGTGAGCCCTTGGAGCAAGCGGCGCGCTGCGCACACGCACACGCGCTTGTAGTGCGCCTGGAACAACTCGTACAGCCTGAAGGTCTTTGGGCTCCGCCACGCCACGCCCAAGCGCATGTGATCGCGGGTGGAGCAGCGTGCGCGCGCGCCCGTACGCCCGTCACGCGCGACACGAAGGGGGCCGTCATTTAGGCGGCGGGGTGTAATGCCAGCACGTTGTGAGCATCGACGAGATGGGGAGGGGAGGGGGCGAAGGAGAGAATGAATAGACCGGATAGAAAAGGGAAAGCGGATATCACTTTTTCGTTCGTAGAGGAGGGCGGGCGCCGGTAGAGTAGACCAACAAAAATACACGGCCCATTATGTAACATTTTCGGGTAGAATGCTGCGAGAGTTTTGTGTCGCTCGAAACTCACCCGTCACGAACGCGTGCCCGCGGTCCTCCAGGCTGACGTCAAACGGGCCCAGGGCGAGCTCGCCGCTGGCCGCCGTCATCGAGTCGCCGATGGCGCCCACCACGTCCACGTCGCCGGGCCGCAGGCGGTGCACCGAGGACGGCCTGGACGGCGACCTGCTCTGTCCGTCGAGCGGACACGGGAATGGCACCGAGGGTCCCAACTGCGGCTGCAGGCGCTGTTCGGAAGGGAGGGCAGGGGGTGGAGGCTTTTGTGTTCAAAGTTTGTGTCGGGAAAAGGAAACGACGAAAAACACGAATGGGGATGGGGCACCCTCGCATCAACCGAGTCGGAACAGGCTAGGCTTCCCGTGCTGTTTCCGCTGTGACTTCTGATTGGTTAAAGCAAAAAGTCATGAAAAGGGGGGAAAACGGAAACACGAGCAAACCACGTCCTTTTTTTCCCGATTCCCAATTACCCGTCGAGCGTATGGGAACGTTGCTCATTTTTCTTTTCCCCCGGAAAGGGCGTGAAGCGTGCGAATTTTTGGCCGTACGTTTTGTGATTGGAGGACCCTCCACAGCTGCGGCATTGGCGGGCGCATAAAGTTGAGCATCCGCCACACTTGCCGGCGGGACTGCCTGAACTGCGCGACGTTGGCCGGCAGCATGCTGTGCGGGTAGACGATGGGGCCCAGCACCTCCTCCATGGAGTCGGGCGCGTCCCGAGCACCGGCCACAGCCGCGAGCAGCGCCAGCAGCAACGGCGCGCGGACCCGTGTCATCCTGGCGTCCTTCGAGGAGAGCAGCACCACTTCCTGGACCGCACGGCACCACGACCCCGCTGAGGAAGCTGCAACACCACCCGTGGTCGTGATGATAAAAGTAAGGCACCTCTCGGAAGCCACTTCATTTGGTAGAGTGTCGCTTGTCAACTCGACTCACCCGGCCGCAGTCGTCTTCCTCCAGAGGCTTGGGGAGATGAAGCACCAGTCCGACTACTTCGCGCGGCAGACTGCGAGCAGAGCGCACCGCGCGCGCAGCGACTATAGGGCCGGCAATATATGATGCGCGCCGCCAGCACCGCCGGGGCCACAATGCGATCCTCACGTCAACTCATTCGCTGATGAGGACGCCGACGACGGAAGAAGACGGGTGGGAAAAAAAAGAGTTCGGGTGCCTTGACTGACTGGCGCGTGTCGAGCGCGCTGCTGTCCTGATCGAATTCGGTTGACTGGCTGCTTTTTAGACGGAATCCGTCTTGGAATACTCGTCGAGTGGGGAGGTAGCAGTGCCTCGAGCCCATAATGCACTTTGCGCGATCTTCGAGGTTACGGCGTGCCCAACTTACTGCCCCAAAATTGCTCAACCAGTGGCCTGTGATGAAATCATCGGCAATGAATGAATCCTCATTTGGCGACATGCTGTACGTCATGGAATTGTTTTCGGATCGACGACGACGTCATACCTCAGGTTCTATTTTGTTTGGCGCGAAGGCATGACGAAGGCGTCGTCGGCGTCGTCTCGTCACCTTTGATAACAATTACCCATCTACGAAACTCATACCTCGACGGCTCGCATTCAACTGCCGGCCCCGCTATTTTTCATTCCAATCTACTTCCCACTTCCGGCCCCAGGAATCGCCGAAATGCCCGATTAAACAGCCACTTTCTTATTTTGTGCGTATGCCCCCCCCCCCTCGCACCGAAGGTCGGTTTTCTTTGACAGGCTTGTTGCATCGGGAGTCCACCACCGCCACTGCCACTCCTCCGCCGGGTCCCCGGTCCCCGGATGGCCCTGATGGATGGGTGGAGGCGGCCCGTCATGTTGGCGCGCCTGCCTGGTGCGCGCTGTCACACGCCGGGGCGGGCGCGGGCCGGGGAGGAGGGGTGTAAACAATGACAAGGAACCCATTTATGAAAGGCTTCTCTGCCGCACTTTCCCGAATGGCTCCCGCCGGGGCTCCAGCGCCCTTATTCGCCCTGCTCCAGCAAGAGAGAGAGAGAGAGGGGGGGGGGGGGTCCGCGCGTGCTGGTCGGGTTATTTTCGGCGCACTAATGGGCGAGGGGAGGAGTGTTTGCGGAAAAGGCTGCAGATACACGCTCATAGCCCAGCAGCTGCAGTAGCTGCAGCCTGCAGCGCCCTCTCAAAATGAACGTTCTGTAATAAATGCCGCGCGTTTTTAAGCTACTTTTGAACTGCCCCCCTGTGGCCTTGTGGTACTTTATGGAGGCTATCGGAAGCCATTACGGTACTCCGTCCGACTCCTCTCCAGCACGATCACCCCCTCTCACTCCCCCAACTGCTCACCCCACCTGAGCCATGTGTGTGACGGTAGCACTGGTAACGAGGAGCGATAGAAGACTCCCCTCCTTCTCTTCGGACCGGCCAGGGAGGGGTATGGGGGTTGGGGCGAGGGAGGGTAAGCGGACAGGAAGAAAGGAAGGCGGGCAGCGTTACTCGACCCTCCGCTCGCCGGATTCACACACACAAGTACACACACACAGCGTACGTAACGTTTAGTTTATTTGTAGCGAATTCTTCACACCGCATGATATGTGTGCGTACCCACTTTACTCCCTGCGGTGCGTGTGTTTGTTGGGAAGCGTTATCTCACACTGTTAAAAAATATTGTCAAATTATCACACTCTTTCCCGTATGGCCTGTTAAAGCATAATTTTGTCATATTTTCGTCATTTATGATATGACAAACCAATCACTCTTAAAACTCAAAATAACGACGAAATAAATGACGAAATAAATTCGTGTGAGTCGATTCGGCTTTGTCATTATGACGTGTTTGTTTCGTCATTTATTTGTGCTGAAATCGGTCAATTTCACGACAAATTAATGACGAATTAATCTCGAAACAATGACAAGACTTCAAGCGGCACGAAAAAACGATTCCCGCTTCTCGCCTGGAGGTGGAATCGAACCACGAGCTTCAGCCACCGCAGGCCGGCACTGTATCCACCAGGCCACGGAGGAGACGTGCGGGGGGCAAGGTCGCCAGACCAGCCGTTGTTCTAGAGCGGCGAGTGGCGGCAGCAGCACGGGTGCGACGGGCTGCACTTCTCTGCTCGGAGCGACCTCATCTCTTACGTCTCCTCCGTGGCCTGGTGGATACAGTGCCGGCCTGCGGTGGGTGAAGTTCGTGGTTCGATTCCACCTCCCGGCGAGAAGCGCGCATCGTTTTTTCGTGCCGCTTGAAGTCTTGTCATTGTTTCGAGATTAATTCGTCATTAATTCGTCGTGAAATTGACCGATTTCAGCACAAATAAATGACGAAACAAACACGTCATAATGACAAAGCCGAATCGACACACGAATTTATTTCGTCATTT